GTCAAGTAAATATTTTAAAAGTTAAACAGGATAAGAAAATTGAGAAGCACTGGAAAATGTCTTTGCAAGTAGTACTGTTGATAAGATTCGATCTTAATGTCGCTATCCCATCGTTAGGAACTCTCTGCACTGATGCTAGCACACACATGGACATACAAATAAGCATCATTCTCATTTTACCAAAAAGCCAGTTATTGATGAAATATAAAAATACCGTTACTCTGTTCTAGAGCATGGTGAGAAATGCACAGCAGTGATCTACTGAGGGAAGCAGCCAACTCTTCAGAATCTCATGCTCAAGTCAGGGAGAATAGGAAGAAGCTTCATTTCTCCAAGTTCACAGGGAAAAAGGGAAGTGTATTAAGGGGAAGCTGAGCTGCATGGTGAGCAGTGGAAATGTCCAAATAACAGGAATTACACTTAATCTTCCAGATGGCTGGGAAGCAGTCTGGGACTTTACTGACTGCTTGCTGTCCTGGTCCATGACTATGAGCCTGGGGAAGGCCCTTAAGTGTGCTCTAGGGAGGTCACATTCATCCAGTGGTCACACTGGGAGGATGGTAAGGGCAGCATGGGGAGATTTCAATAAAAAACATGGCCTCAAGGGCTGAGTGAAATTGCCTATGAAAGTATACAGTATCCTAAATTGCTTCACATCGTAGAAAGAGATCAGTCCTTGCTCATACTGCAAAAAAATCCCCACTGTTAAAGGAGGTGCTGCAACCTTAAAATCAAAACAGGATCGATAAAGAGCCTGGTAATTATTAAAAGTCCTGCTTATGTTCCAAAAACCATTCTCAGGATGAATATCCTCAAAATGTAGTTCCCTGTTGACTGAATCCGAGCACAGTCCCACCGTCCAGATTTCGTTCCCTCCTACGTCCACCTCCCAGTAATGGTGCCCACTGGAGAAGCTGTTCCGACCCAGCACAGCTCGGAGAGAGGTAAATCTTCCAGGACTTTCAGGAACAGCTCTCTCTCTTGACAAATATTCAACACGTTTCCCATCATCTGACACAAAGAGCTTAGGGTGAGCAGTGTCTTCATCCAGAACTATGTCTTCTGCAAAAAAGGAAGAGACCCATTACCTGTAGGCCTTGAGAAAAGAGCTTTCGATTCTTTGCTGTCAAAAGAGGGGTGAGGACACAGCACATGGGTCCAGGAGTCCTTTCCATAGCCCACGGCCCATCAGGCAGTCCCACCTAGAGGTGTGGAGATCTTTATTTTTAGGGAAACTTCTCCAAAACACTTCACCTCTGGACCTGATCTGTGCTGTCACCTCAGTTTCTGAGGACACGGTTGGTAGGAATGGGGGACATGGGGCTGACACCTGGGAAAGGTGTTACCAGTGTCTGATGCCCACAGTGCTTCCCAGGTTCCCACACAGGACACCGCATCCACAGAGAGAGGAAAACTGCCGCAGAGGGAGCAGGAGACCACGGGACAGCAGCACAAAGCAGCACGGTCAGTGTGTTCAAGGGGAGGAACCCAGGCAGGGCGGGGAGGAGAGCGAGGGGAGGAGAGGAAGGAGGGAGCTGGAGAGGAGCAGGGCCAGAGGGTGAGGACTGCTGGGCCAGGGAGGCTGTTTTTAGGGTTGGACCCTTGTTAGGCAACAATGGGGAAGAGTGAGATGGTGAACATTAGTGAGAATGAAGAGTCGCAGCTATTTATTAAGGTTTTCTATAAAGAAAGAAAAATGGACTATAACATTCAACAGAGAAATTCAGCCAATACCGTTATTGTTAACTGCCTCTTTTTTTAAGGAGAAAAGCGGTCACATCTGCACATGGAGACAGAGCCTGACAGACCTGGAGAACGCCATGCTACAAGAGCCTAGGAGGAGGAGGGGGGACTTTCTCATATTCATGAGTCTTTCATGGCCCTGAGGTGCTCTGGCACTGATGCCCCTGGGTCAGGAAGAGGAAGCCCCCTGCTCCCGACTGGCACAGACCCTGTCCTGTCACTGAGGTGAGCTCCCTGCATCTGTGCTCTGCGAGGTGCTGTGTGTGGATCTGGAACCCTCCATGGCCTGGGTTCACATCCCGGTGCTACTGGGAAGGGTGGGGTTTTCAGTGGTGGGGCCTGGTGGGAAACCCTGGGTCACAGGCACAGCCCTTGCAAGAGAACTGTGTGCCTTGCTCCCCTTTCCTTCTTGGCCACGTGACGAGTGGTTCTGCTTGTTTCCCAACCTGACCTGCTGCCCTCACTGAGGGGTAAAACCGCAGCACCAACTGCCCATGACCTGAAACCCCCAGAACCCTGAGAGAAAGTGAAACTTCCCTCTTACAGGTTGATACAGCAGGTATATATTAAAGCACAGCAGAGCATATGTCCCTGTGTATTTACTTAGGAGTTTTTTCTCACATCATCTCTCACATTCAGCATGCCGGTTCGCACATAAGGTCAGGAACATATGTTCAGCATTAAGCCATCCTCCTAGTTCACACACAAGTCTTACAGATTACTGGGCAAAACATTTTCTTTCATACTAGAATCCCACAGAATTGAGGTGGCAAACATGAGGTCACTTTAAACTGTTCCCTTTGCAATTACCTGCAAATTCTCGAGCTATCATCAGACCTACAAACAGATGGAGACAGTAAAAAGTCAGTGGAGTGACTGGGCAGGCAGGGCTGTTGTAGGTAACAGGGTGTGAGATGTCAATAGTAAGAATCAGGACTATACTTACACTCCCTTACAAAAAGTTTTCTTTGTTCTGCAAAGAATCACACAGAAAGATAAGTATTTTGATGACATATAGACTGAATTTTAACTTCAACACAGGAAAGAAAACAGAACTTACCTAATTCTTTAGCAATTCTCTCTAAAAAAAGGCAAAGGAAAATTAATTTTTGAAACCTAAAGAAAATTGTTTCTAGCATTTGCCTCTATATGATTTGTAAAATATTTGGGAATATTTATTCAGCTTTCTGGAGTTTGAAGCAGAAGAACAGAAAAGGTCTTTACAAAAAGTTTACTTTTTCTACACTCAGAGAGATAAATATTTTCATGACGCATGGACTGAAATTTCAATTTAGCATAAGAAAGAAACAGAACTTACCATGTTCTTGAGTATTTCTCCCTAAAAGAAAAATGCAAAGGAATGTTAATTTTTGAAATGCTAAGAAAGTTGTTCATCACCTTTATCTTCATATAATTTGTGAAATATTTCAGAACAATTGTTCAGCTTTCTCAAGTTTGAAGCAGAAGGACAGATAGGACCATTTGTCCTCAATTTCCATATGGGACATTTTTCCTCAGACAGGAAAAAAAAATTCACTAGTTTCCTGTACCTACATATAACCACTTAAGGTATCTTACACATACATCCCAAATATTTTTATTCCAGAACAAAAACATTCTCCAAAAATGTTACACATCATTTGTCACTTTCAATTAAATGTTAATTTTTAATACTTGCACATAAAAATCAGCATTCTTTTAAAGTATCATTGAATAGCTAAATGATATTTCTGGTGATTAGTAATGTACATGGAGCTAGTCCTTTCTTGGCATTTAAGTAACAAAGTTTTCCCTGATTATGCTAATAAACAATAAACATTTAAATTTTTCATCTGATAAAAAATAAAGATATGTAAAAAGTGGCCCTGTGGGTCAATCAAAGCAGAGAGTTAGTCTCTGGATATAAAAATCAAAGACAAAGCAATTCATAAAAATGGAATGAAGCGTAGACCCATTTTCTTGGTCCAATGTCACACAAGACCTGGTCCCATTATAAACGGGCCTGTGATGTGCAAGAGATGGTTACTGGAGGAGAACTGATAGAAGAATGGATCTGGGAGCTGGGAACACATTGGATCTCGGTGTCAGGAACTGGACAATTTCCACAGATGCCCAGGCCAGAACAGGGCCACACCCTCTGCCCTCCTCCCCACCCATCCCTCTCATATACCATCTTGAATTTCCCCCGAGGCTCTGACTCCAGCCTCACTAAAGCACTAAGATGTTTTTCTCCTCCCTCCACCATCTCTGTTCAAGTTTTGAGTCTGCTGCAATCACTGCTCCCTCAGTGAACTCTAATTCACAAGTCCGTGGACTCCGTGGTGCAGTCACATTACAGCCCAGGCCATGTGATCATAGTGCTGCCCTCTCTCCACTCAGATCCCTGCAGGGCTCTGCACCACTTAGAAGACAAATAAGAAAACCCTGAATGTGGCTGCAGCGATCCTCACAGTCTGCCCTCTGTCTGCCTCTCCACGCTCTCTTCTGCCAGTTCTTCCCCATCTTTCATGTTTAATATTTGCTATGTTTTAGCATCAGACATAAGAGAAAGCACTAATTATACTTACCTATATCATTATTATAAAGTAGAGTTTCTCACAAGGATTCCTTTGACATATTAAAACAAAACTATGAAGATTGAGAAATAACTATTCCTGATTAGAAATTGTTACATATGACTTATTAATTTAAAAATAGTTAAATGAGTTCCTTGTTATACCTGTGCTTTTATTGTATGGTGAATTCCAAATATCCTTTTCTCAAAAGTAGTATTTAATTCTAGGAAACAGACATTAGCAGAATTATTGGAAATGCAAACATAACATTGGAGAAGTTTTTGTATTGTGATTAATGTGGTCAATGATGAATTAAGTCTGGATGGATTTTTATTGGGTAGGTCGATTTAAAACCTGTGTATATTTAGTCAATTGTTTGTCTATGGGAAAGAGTTTTTCAGACAGAAAACCTACAACTGAGCACGATTTAAAAGTTAGACAAGAAAGGAAATATCACAAGCATCATCATACTTGCAACAGTCCCAATTTTTCTGATGTCTACAGTGGCAGAGGTGATACATAAACTCTCTAATAGCTCACCGATGGCATTTTTCTTTCATTTTGTTTTAAATGATGCTCTCTGCAAGGCTGTGTGAGCCTGGAGAAGCTCAGCTTTGGGAGAGCTGAGAGAGAGAGCAGGACGTGGGCAGCAGCTTCCTCACCCCAGAGGGAACAGCCTCACCAGGACAAGCTCCAGGCAGCAGCTAGCGGACATCAGCTGCTGGTCAAGAGAGCCCAGGGTAGCCTTGGGGGCGGTCGCTTGAGTAAGCCTTGTGGGGACACTGTGAGGGAGTAACAGCATCTGGGGCCCCTCGGAGCAGGGCAGGGGCAGCTCTCTGATGTACAGACCAAGGGGAGGTGCACATTGGAGTCTGCATTCCTTGAAAATTCATCTCAGAGGAAAATGTAGAATTTAAACAGCAAATTGACCTCATTCCACGGACTATGGTGAAAGAATACTGAATCACATAACTCGTGTTTGATGGTGAGTTGTGATTGCCTCTGACCTGGGCTGTGATGGAAATAGGAGCACACTGTCCTCCCCCCAGGGTCACAGAGTCAGCCCAGAGCATTTCCTGGGCAAATCTCATCTATAGATTTTACTCTGTAACAGAAAGTGACTTATTTAAATAAAAAATGCCAAACTAACTCTCATTTTTTAGACTGCATCTGAATAGGAAATGGCAAAAAACAATGTGGAGATATCCATGAACACAGGGCTGTAATAAGATTAAAATAATTATTTTGTTACTCTACGTGTATAAGTTAATGATGTATAGCCATGTGATACTGGTAATATTACAACATATTAAAACTACATACAAGTTCATACTGGTCACATCTTTTTGATCTCCACAAGCCTGTTGGAGAAAACTGTTCATCCTGATGATGCTCTTTTTGAATATCATGATTTCAGTGGGTGAACTTTTTCTTCCATGAAACGAACTAAATAACCCTATGTAGGTATACTAGATCAATTTTAATTTTATGGGGATCCCGGTGTAGGTACAGAACTGTTATGGTTTGGGTCTAGATGTCCCCCCAAAGCCTCATGCAGTCATAGGGGTAGGTTTGTAGAATTTGTGATTTATTCATGGTAGAGTGCTAGGATTATGGGTGTGACTCGTACACTGTCCTGGGGTGGGTAGCCTGCATATAATATAAGAGAACAAAAGAGGCTTGCTGAAGCCCTTCTCCCTTTTTGCTCTTACTGCTTTGCTGTTTTCTCTCTGTCATGAACTGTTGCCCCCTGCCATGTACCACCCAGCCTTGGAGCCAGCCAAGCATAGACTGAAACCACCACAAACTGTGAGCTGAATAGACTTTTCCTTCTTTAACTCTAGGCATAAGGTATTTTGTCTCAGCAACAAGAGAAAAGTAACCAAGGCAAGAACCATCTCTTTTCCAGGATCACCAGCTGCCCAGTTACTACCAAGAATTCAGATCCTGCCTCTGAGTCACGGTACTGAGATATGTTACTGCTCAGTCCTGAGTGTAACCTTGTGTCATAAACACCAACACCATGACCATGTTAGAAGTCAGATATATATTCCCCCAGGTTAATGTGTTGATGTCTTTTAAAGGATCACTGAAGTTACCAAGTGTCAAAGATGTCACTGAAACCCAGATCTGCACTGTCCATCTGGAGCAGATTGTCCTCCTATCTCATGTTTGTCCTCATATCTTGAAATTGAGGACAGGTATCACTCACACTGCTCCACTCTGAGAGAATCTAGTGACTGCCTGGCTGACTGCACATGAAGGAGAACCACACATGCCACAGAGGATTTCTCTCTCGAAGACTGTTCCCACTAAATGGACTAATTTGTACAATGATTAACTTAATTATATGATGATTAACAAATTCACTCAAGAACCGTGGAGGCCAATAACAAGATAGTGCATAAGTACACATGGATGGAGTTTTAGACTGATTTATTCATTTCACAAAATGTCCCACTCAGTGAAATTCTGCTTAATTCTCTCTGAAAATTTTACCACTTACAAGAGAATGGACATCCCATTCTAGGAAAAAAATCTTTCCTAAAGAGATGAACATAGACTGACTGAAATTTTGAAGCCTGGGCAATTTTGTTTGAAATGGATCAAAGCCATTTTCGTGGAAATATGATGCTATATTTCCTGGTATCTGCCTAAATTTCTTACTCAGTCACCTGGTTCATGTTTGTCTCCTCTGATGGAACTACAACGTACCCTGCTGCGGGCTGCTCCTGCCTTGTTCAAGCTGGTTTTCTACTCTATGTTCAAACCTGTTCATCAGCTCTGAGCTTAGATCCACCCCCGCTGCCTCAGCCAAGTCTCCCCTGACCTCTAGCTCTGCTCTCACTGTTTTCTCAAGGAGCCCTGTAATTACTCCGATCCATAGACCTTTTTATAACACTAGTTTTGAACTTATCTCAAAAGCATAGAATTAGCATCTATCTTCAGATATCAGTCACCTCTCTTGTTCGGTTCACCACAAATCATGGAACAGGCAGTCAATTACTTCATGAAGAAAAGGCCATTGGTCTTTGTCCAACAGAATATGCAAACCCCTGACTCCCAGTCTTCACATGGTTTAAACAATGTGCCTTGTTTTTCTCTATATGCATAACAACCTTCCCGATGCTATCAGTACAATTACTTTGTCAAAATTAGTGAGAAGGTATTTGAGTTGTGTCTAAACAATATTTCAGATGAAAAAGAGGCATTCAATTATATTTGGATTTTGTTTCTCTTATAACCGTAATAGTATATAAGATGTGGACCATTATTTGATTTTAAAGATTCAAACTTTCCCTCTCAAGTATCATTTACTATATTGCTACTTTACCAAAGTGTGTGACTCAAATTTTTCCT